AATTTTTTTTTTCTCAAAATTGTTATTTACATTAGACAAAGTATATTTTGTAAATTAAAAATGATATCACTAATAATAAATATAACTAAATCCAAAATGCAATCCAAAAAAAAAAAGCGGAACTTACATATTGAATTTCAAGAAGCTTTTTGTGCCATATTCAAGGCTTCTTTCTGATCAATTCCTTTTTTTTTTTTTCTTATTTGTTCGTAATTCCAATCATAAAGTAATCCTTTCAATCTTTTCGTTATTTACCATAATCTATTTGCTTTTGTAATGATAGAATTAAGAGTATATAAGTTGAAAATGGATATGACTGATGCTAGCTTATAAATTATACTAACAACATATTTACGTTTTGTTTCCTGTTTTTTGTTTTTGTTTTTTTTCGTTCACTTTCTCTTACATCTTTAATCATTGTTTTAGTATCTCCGATTATATGATATCATCAAAATGACATTACAGTAAAAAATAAAATCATAGAATAGAATTACATTTCATTTCGTACTTTCTATACACTTCCAAAAACTATATATATATATATATATGCATAATTAGGAATAAATAATGGGAAATCTTGAATTATAGAGATTACATAACAGTCAGTGATGCGGGAAGGAGTCAGAAAAATGATGATACAAATGCATTCTGCATTTAATCGTTTAGATGAATATCCTAAAATAGAAGATGCACTGGTAACATTTACTAAATTATTTCTTTAATTTGATAATATATAAATTTTCTGTATAAATTTTTATATTTATATGCAATATAAATTCATATATAATTTAATATATAAGTTTTTTTAAAAAAGCTTCAAATTTTCTTTGAAATGAATTATGAAATTCGTTACATTTCGCCCAAACTATGTAGTGATCTGAATCATTAGGAAGTGCTATGCTATACAACATATTTTCTAAATATTTAAAACTATAATTACTTGTCATTCAGTCATTTGTCTATCAGAATCTATCATTTGTCATTCAGAACCATGGAATTTCTTAATAAATTAGCCTTTTTGTGATAAGAAATCCCGAGCAAATCAAAAATCTTGATGATGAAAAATGAAATGAAATATGCATATTGTAAGTAAAACGAGATTATAAAGCAATAAGAGTGAAAATTTCCAACAAATTCTCAGCATGAAAATTGTATATCAACTTTATATCATTGAGGTGATACCGATTGGGAGCTTAATCAGATGATTTGGATTCAAGCGAACAAAGATGCCGAAGTGTTGGTCGCCCATGGGGACAATTCTGAAATATTATGAAAATTAGAAATGTGTTCACCAGTTTGCATGAAAACTGAACACATTTTCAACAGTTTTCCATGCAAACTGAACACATTTTCAAACATAGGATGATTTTTGATTTTTGAACAGGATGGTTTTTGTTGTTATTTCTACAAAAAGTATAGATGTAATACATTAATTTCAACTAATTACCATATCCTCCTCAAATCTTGATATAGCAAAGTGCTTAAACATTTAGCAAAGTATTTGGTTTTCAGAACAACCAAATACCAGCTTCTTGAAATTGACTCATAATTTAATTCGTTTTGATCATTTAATGCATCGATTAAAGTGCTATGGTATCGCTTAGAATACGTGCATTCAAATCAGTAGTAAGTAAGAATATTGGTATAATTTAACTATTTAAAGTTTGTAGTCAAGCCAAAATTTCGTCAAAATTTGCGCAAAGCTATAAATTCATTAATTTAAAGAATAACAAATTCATATCAATGAATAGTGATTTGAAGCAACCATTTACCAATTATTATATTAACATTTTTTCTCAAAAAACACAAACAGTAGACGACTTACCCATGGATGATCAAGTGTTCCAAGATGACGAACAATCTGAAAAAAAAAAACAATAAAACATGGAAAAAATCAAAATATCCAGAAACAAATAAATACTTCAAAAATTCAAAGAGTAACAAGCTCAAGAAATAAATATGGACAAGATGTGAGAAACAAAGAATGACAATGACAACGCTACCTGAAAATAAAAGAAATTTGAACATAAATTTTGTCATGAAGAATGACAAAACAATCCGTTGTTAATTTTGAATCTGATATAGCAGCAAAAAAAGAAAAAAAAAAAATCAATGTAGAATATCTGAATACAAATCATGACCAAGAATATACTCAATATGGGTACCTATTTGGTGAAACGAATTAAGAAAACAATGCACCTTTTCCATATGTGCCATTGTAAGCGAGCTACCAATCATAACCGATTTACGACAAGCTCGTGAAGCGAAAAGTTTCCGCAATTTTGCCGGTCGATACATCATTCCCGGAAAGTCACACAATACCGAGAGCATCTCGTCGATATCTTTAAATTAGCTCCAAGGATTAAGGAAGCGATAAATGAATAATATATCATTTTGTATTAAAAACTCGTTCATTTTATGATTTGGAAAAGTTTCATATCAATGGTAGCGAGTCTAACATCTCCCAGTACATAAATTTTACAATTTTCCCTAATGCAAGACAGAGTTGTCACTTCATAAGTTGTTTTAATTCTATCTTGTCCACTATTCAACAACACAAATACATACATACATACATACACACACACATACACACACATACACACACACACACACACACACTTAATTTTTCTCTGTGACAAAGAAAAACGTCGAAAGTCGAGCGTTATAAGATAAACTAAGTTATAGCGAAGTACTGTCAATATAATTAAAACGATGAAGAGGCTGGCAACGCATAAACTAATCAGAAATCTTTTCTTCCTTAGCTCCACATTGTATGATTATCAGGTAGGGTAAGAACAAAATGTATCTTTTTTTCAAAGTAATGAAATACAAAAGAAAAAAAATGGAGTAACATTTGAAACTTCACACCTGATATACTGAACTGCCAACTTTGTAAAACTGGTATTGCGGTCAATAATGCACGTTTACCAACAACTTCTGTAACATTAACTTGGGAAAATCATTACATGGTATCGTAGGATTATCGGATTTACAAATTGACAAGAAGAAATGTAATTTTGAGAATTAAAATTAAAAAAAATTTTTTTAAAAAATCTAATTTGACTTTGAAATGTGAAATCACTTGCATTAAAAATACAATTGGGAAATTCAGATAACTTCAATAGGGATCAATAAGTTAAAAGAGCTATAGTTCATAACAATTAACAATTCGGATATACCTTCATCGTCGAATTGAAATTCGAATCCATTGTAATTAAATATATCAACATTGTCGCGTAATATAGCTTCCTTTACTACTCCAAGATCTAAGACACGTGGACTGGAATTAATTCATGAGTTTAATACAAACATTTTGGGAGTCTGTCGAATGAGCAAATATATTTAAAAGCTTTTATGAAACTGTATGGACAGTTTGAGACTGTATTGATTATAAACTGTAGTTAACAGAGGCTTTCATTAAACAAAATTCTTTTGGAATTATTTAAAATAAGCCCATTACGCAATATTTTTTAACACAATATTATACAAATACAAGATATTATATTTACAAAATACAAATACAATATTATATGAAGAAAAAATTTAAATAAAATTTAACAAAGACCTAATTAAGTGCTGCGTTTGTATGCGTGCTTTTTTCTGGAATCGTTCAAAATTATATTTTTCGTCGCTGGCATGTTGGTCAACAATAAAGAGATCGTTATTTAGCCTCACGATAATGAAGCCTTTATTGAATTGTCCCAATATTTCCATAGATTCAAAATCTTTTTTCCTGACAAAAATTCACAGTTACTCTTTGATTTGCCAAATTAGCTACCAAAAAAATCTTTTGAGCTTTCGCTAGGCACTCATAAATACAAGGAGTAAAAAGTAAAACTAACGAGATATAAGCTGCTAATTCACTTTCTGCTACTTCTGGATTGTCAACACGAAATTCCGTACGTGATTCCATTATTCTTTCATCATCGTCATAAATGTTCGACACAGGTTTTGACGTTTTTAGATGCAACTGTAATATGATTCCCTTAAGACGAAGATCCAAAGGAAAAAGATTTACTACCAGTGATTAAAAAAAACAAAAATTAATGAAAAAGGATGCGAGAATATTTTCCAATAGAAGAAAATAAAAGACACATACTGTGCTCATATGCTTCTTAAAATTAGACATTGAGAATGATATTGTCTGTTGTGTACGACGTGTAATTCCACAACTATTCTCTGCATTCATGGTAGATTTGCAATTCTTTAAATAGGAATATGGTTAAATTTTACCGGTCACAAGTGCTCTTCTGTTGAATATTCTATCTGATACAGTGAGTTAAGATAGTGTAGAAGAAAAAAAATACTTTTTCATAATTGAGGAATATATACATTAGGAGTATTAGAATATATGGACTAGAATATACGGACAGAATTTAATCCAACTCATACAATATTGTTAAGCAAATTCAAACAATCATCGACCATGATTAATGGTTTTGTAAACAAAAGCAAAAATGAGTCCTGAAAAAAAAAAAGAAAAAAAAACTCTTTACCTGGTCATCTTTCACAGCTGTAACTAGCACATCATCATCATCATCATCATCGCTGAGATTTGGAAAATCAGCATCCTCCTGAGGTATTACCTCAACATTTTCATCTTTCGATGCACCCGCTACTATAGTTTGTAAGGGAACTTGTCTGAAAAATTTTAATAATATCAGTCTGAAAGTAATACATACGATACCACTATAGAAAGGTTAAACAAAATTTCTTTTCTGCCTTCTTTTACAATTGAATCTCTTTTTTTTTCTCCTGTTATATGCTTTTGTCTAATTGAAAAATGTCATACCTACAATTCTGTTCACAACAAGTAGTTCAATTAAGATTCTAAATATTTTAGTCTTAGAACAACGAGCAAAACATTCCATTGTAAGAACATTGGTAAAAATGAACGAATCAGCAAGTACTGAAGAGTGATAGAACAAATTAGCTAACACACCTAAAATCAATGTTTTCTCTTTGATCAACTAATGCACGGGATGCTTCTTCGTTATTTGTACAGCTATCAGCCACAATTTCTTTGGAATTATGAGGTATTACTTTGAATGCAAATTTTTCAAATATATTTGCTGCAGGCCGTTTTTGGACAGAAGCCGATTTTTCAGAACAATTCCTTGAAGCAGGTCTTTTTCTAGTCTTTTCTATAGTTTCTGAAAAAGTTAAGGAAATCTTTCGCTCAATTCATTTAGCATAACAAATACCAATTATCAAATTCGAGCAGATTTTCCCTTCAAATTTCCAGAAGTTGAAAAAGAGGGAAACTATTATAACATCCCAAACAATTCCCTTACACTAATTATGGCTGTATTTTGTACTTAGTTATCGTTTAGCAACAGCTAGTTTGTTCCCAATGAAATTTTACAGCTGAAGAGTTAAGGATATAACTATAATTTAGTAAAATAAGATGCAAGATTTAATGTCTCAAACTCTTTTATTCCTCAATTAGCTATCGGAGCTACTCTTAACAGTCCAAAGAAACTCGGAATTAACCTTTTACATTTGCGAGATCTATACTCGGTCCACGTGATTTATCTCTAGCAAACGTGGTAGTTGCCAGCGGACTAGTGTTTTTTGACTCGGATGATTGGAAATCTGATGTCGATATATCGGATGAATCATTTCTGTCAGTTAGTTGTGTTAAATGAATAAAAGAATCATCCATGGACTCTGAAATGAAATTAGAATCTCGGTCAAAACATATTTGATGGATTCAACAATTAGATTGTTTCAGCTAAAAGTGTCATTTACGACAGCACTTTTTACTACGATATGATCAAAATCGTTACTTCTTCTGTGAAAACTTTAACCTAATCCCAAAAATTTCAATCTTTGAACCCTCAGCATGTGGACACTGGCTACAATTAACAATGACAAAAATGTACTTTTGTGGCTTCAAAGCATTAAGACTACATCTAATATTCGATGCAGTATATCTCCCAAAATTCATCAGTATTTTGTATTTGGCAGACCTCTAAATGTTAATCAAAATAGCAACGTTATCGGTCTACGTGCTTGTTTGGTTGCCAAAGGTTCGACTGGCCTAATGTTGACCGGCCAATGAGCAGTAATATTTTTGCTTGCTTGGACTGCCTGGGCTTATTTGTTTCGGCATAAGCCATCGTAGTTATGCCCAGAGTAAGATGAGGCTTCTCAATGATTTTAAGTAACGATTTTCAAATAGAAAGCCATAAAACTGAAAAAGGTAAAGAAAATTAAATATTTAATTTTATAAGACAAGAAAAAGCATAAAACAAACCTAAATGCGACAGATCATTAGCAGTCGTGGATCGATTTGAAATGTCAACATGTCCAAGATGTGGAGCAAAAGTGGCCAGTAGTGAAGCACGTAGCAAGGCGAATAGTTCCTTTTCACGTTCGAAGAATACCGAACGTTTGTCCGGAGACACGTTTACATCAATACTTTCTGAAAATGAAAACTTCTATTCCTTTTTAAGCCATTTTTTTGTTATGCTTAAATTGAACAAATGATAGAATCATTCTCAGAACTGGATGCCAAATGTTTGATAATAGCCTCGGAATGCTTAGTATTGTACAGTAATATACAGAGGTATATCTTCAGAAATTTAATATTACCACGAAGGTTTCCTTGTACACCTGACGACAATAATCAAGCATATCTAACCAACACTATCCAATTATTCCAAAAATTGACAATATAGATGATGTGAGTTTTTAAGTCGAAGTTTACTACGTAATCATGGTAAGTAAAAGTAATCCCAAGAAAACCAAAAATAAGTATAAAGATATCGTTGCTGAAATGCTTTTCCTACATTGTCCTTCAAGAATTGATCTTGACATCTCCCTCGAATATTTGCGGGAGATATTAAGATGAATCTCATAGATACTGTTGGATCACTTTAGTAATAACGAAAAAAAAGAAAAAAGAAACCTACCAGGAGGGACATCAACAAAGAGGATAAGCAAACAATATTGCCCACGGTTGTACTGTTGGTATACTTCATTTGCGATTCTACAGAGCTGGAAGCATTTCAAAATCATTTTGGATTTTCCAGATTTCCAAATTTCCAATTGTTTTTAAAGTATTTCTTGAGAGAATGACAATTCGCTGAAGAAAATGAAATAAAATGAACCAACTTTTGCATAATCAACCGGTCTCTTGTTGAAATAAACAAACTGTCGATCTGCTGTACTTTTTCCCTGTCCATGTACACAAGAACTTATGTAACCAGTGATTCTATAATAGCTACCAAAAATTTCTACTCTTCTTTATTATGTTGAAATCTTAAAATGTAAGAGTGATGAATGGGCATATGGTGTCAACATAATCAAATATAGATCAAGGACCAAACATAAAACATGCAGATAAGATAATCTGAGATAGCTTCATTTATTTCATACTGTATACTGCAATAGTAATAACGGTATAGTTTTAACAGTAAGGGCATATTATTAGGAATAAGGCAACATACTCCAACTTACTTAATGTCGTCGAATTTCGAATGGTCAGAGATTCCATAAAGAGCACATATAGATTCATCCGGTTCTTGTTGAATAATATCCAGGACTGTACCTTTTTCAAAACGAGCACCAAAAAGATTCACAACGATATCTTTAATTGATGCATTACCACCCGGGGTCACCAATGCTTGATGTTGTTTACTGAAATACTTTTTCTTCCAAAGAAATATGGCAATACATTGTCGTTTTCCGATCATTCAAAGCATTCGAGGGATTTGAAATATTATCATTTTTTACTACATCATTCGTAACAAGTGAGGGGAAGATCAGATAATGATAGTATCCGAAATATCCTAAATATTAGCCGGAAATTGTATAAAGTTTCAACTTGGTCATTATTCCAAATAATTACACACTTACCCATCCATCAGACTATTTACAACGAATCGTACATTTGTCCGGGATAAAGCAAATGACTGTACAACATTTAGAAGTTTAGTGAAAGCCTTTTTGATAGTTCGCTCAAATTCTTTCCTTCGTACTGGTAATGTTTCAAACAAACAGTTAATTGAAATCGTGGTACCAACCTGGAAAAACTGCAGAAAATATTCTGGACATTTTAGAATTTTTTTTTCTAATTTCAAAAAGACTGTTTCCAATGAAGCCAAATTTATCACACATAGTTTCATATTTTTTCCAGGAAGAGACCCGTGCTATTACCTTAAAAAAATATTGCAAAACAATCAGTGTAGGAAATACTCAAACCTACAGGTCTTGCACATTTTTCACGTGATTTTATCGATCCGTCGTGACCAAATTGTAGTTTTGTAGCCATAACTTCATCTGCATGTCTGGTTGTGATAGATAGTGAACTGAAACGAAAAATGAAACTCCTTTTGAAATGAGACGAACAAAATCTTGAAGCATCTATTAAAATAATGAATATTGAACGAGTTACTAAGTAATTTACTTCTCGAAAAACGAGTAGATAAGTAAGGACATAAGTCAAGTAATCATAGCAAATCCGAAAATTACAGGAAACCAATCATGAAACAGCCGTGGATATAATAACAAAAAAAAAAAAGTCCAGTAAAAGTACTAGAATATCTACGTTCTCAACAATGCAGTTCTCATAATTTAGTTAATTTTCTTTTAATAGAGAAAAAGAATGACTAACCTTATGGCGCACAGTGAACTTAAAGCTTCACCACGAAATCCAAATGTTGTTAGCTGATTAAAATCTGAGAAATTAGTAAGCTTCGATGTAGAATGTGGTTTACCTAAAAAATATAAAATAAAGAATAACGCTTGACACATATAATGTAAAATTCAAATTGACCCATAAAATTAGAAAAATATGAATCTTCGCCAGGAATGTCTATCTTATACCTTCCCCTCCACATATAGCGTAGCGTAAATTTTGTCATGAAAACTGTTCGAACTTAATAATGATAGGAATTATCCAGTTGATCTCGTTTTACGTAACACTCTTGATTTCAATTAAAAGAAAAAATTACATAAAGCATCGAAATTGAGTGAGTGAATTCCGGTACCATCATCAATCACTTCCACTCTTTCAAATCCCATTTTCTTCACTCGTATCTCTACAGTGTTTGCAGTAATTAATTTGCATGACACACACAAAGACTTCACTTTTTCTTAGATTCTTGGTATTTATGTTTTTCGAAGCTAAATGTTCCACTGTG